GAGCGGCGGACGACATGATGAAGGGGGTGCAATAGTATTGGCTGATGTAATTTCTCCTGTAGAACAGAGAATGGATGATGAGACGGAGGTCGACCCTATGGATTACCTCAATACAAACGCGTATGACTGTGACATAGATATGATGAGTCAACCATATGACGAATCGGGCTATCAGCTTGCTAATGAGGATATGGATGATATGCCCGGGCAGGGTCGTGCATGGATTGCAAAAAGTCTCTCTTCATGAAATCCTCACAGGACACGCCTGAAGATGCCGCCTCAACACAGGCTCAACTAGCCGGACGCGAGGGTCGTACAGTACTTAGCCCGGGAACACTGGGGCAGGGGTTAAGGAAGGGTCTGGAAGGTGTGCCCAAGAAAAAGGAGAGGAAGAGATCGGGGAAGGTAACTGCCTCCAAACAAGCCAGAGCACATAGCAGCCAGACGATGCATTCTGAAGAGCGTGTACCCGTGAAAGGTGCGGTCATGTTCCATCTCACGGGTGAGCCGATGCTACCGCCGAAACCGCTGGAGGCACTATCAGGGGATCTCAGGAGACTGCACGACCATGTGCTGTCGACTGAGAAAAGCCTACTAGCCTCAAAGGATCCAGGATTCCGACATACGCGGCTCGAGTGCCTGAGGGGAAGTGCTACGTCGACACACGGCCCGCGGAGGTGTTCTTCCTGCGTTTTGACCATATCTTTGAGATGTTTCTAACAAGGCGGCTTGATTTTACTATCGTCCGCCTTTTTGCGCTACATATGAGCTCCGTCATGAAGAGTGAAGAAGTCTCGCAAATCCGTGTGGCGGATCCGTATTACATGCACGAGTCTTTCTTGAGTCTCGGCGACTTTGAGTGTGAAACTGCTAGGGAGTACCTCCAAAACTTCATGGTACAGAATAAGGACCGGGAAATTGTCCTCGTGCCTTATCATCCAAAGTAAGTCAGTTCCGAACAACCCTTTCGTACATTTCAATCATTCCTTCTCTCTCATATGGGGAACAATTTGAGGTGTCTTTTCCCCGCAGCAACGGGCGCGCCGTCCTTATCGTTCTTTACCCGCAAGTCTCACACGCCGTGTATTTTGACCCTTCTAGAGACTACGAGAAAAAAGACTACACCCACATAATGAATATTCTAGATGATGCTCTCCAAGGCTTCAGCTTTAGAGGTGGCCACGTGCAGATCAAGAAACAAAGGAACAAGAAGATGGGTTTCGCGCATAAAACTAACTTCTCCTGCATCCATGTCCCAAAACCAAGCAAGAAGGATGAATTCTACATCGTCCATCTCATGATTCAGTTCAACACGGATCACCAAAAGCTTCGCATTAACAACAGAAATGATGATCATATCCACAAGTGGCTAGAATCTCATGGAGAAGCGGATTATAAACTTAGAGATGACTTCTTTCGCATCCAAAGCGACATTGCGACGATCATCATGAAAGAAGTCGTCGATGAGAAGGGGATGTTCCACCACGGCCCTATATCGCGAGCTGACGTCCGAACTCGCATAGGCATGCAACGTCTAGACCTCACGCCGTTCAAGAAGCTAGGGTTCGTCCTCGATGATATGGAAGGATGGAACTTCTAGTGATTTATGATGCCGATGATGATGACATGTGTCAGTTGAACTTGTATGCTTTTTGTAGCGATGAAACTTTGTGATGTCCACGGTCCCTGCCAAACTTGCGTAACGCTACTTTGTTAGTTTGCGTACGATGACCTGCGTACCTCTAGTTAATTAATTTGCGTATTGTATGTTGCATCTAGTTGCTAACCCTTTCTTTTTCGGTGTTGCTCTAGTATATTTTGTTGCATATATATGATTGTACATCCTCTTCATGAACATGCATCTCTAACAGGTAACTAGTTTCTTGATGGCGAGATGGAATTGCTATGTTGTGTACAAAGGGAAGGTTCCGGGGGTGTACAACGAGTGGCATGAGTGTCAGGCGCAAGTGAATGGGTTCACGGGCGCCAGCCATAAAGGCTTCAAAAGCAGACAAGAAGGAGAAGCTAGTTACTTGAGGTTCACGCTAGCGCGAGAGAGGACTCGTAACCGCCACCTCATGTACTGCATAGTTCCGCTCTCACTCATAGTGATAGCACTTCTTGCGTATACCTTTATTTAGATGGATGACGTTGTTGTAGTTGCAAGTATTCGAGACTTGCATGTATCGCTATTTTCGAGATGATGACAAGATATCACTTTGTGTTGAATGATGATTATGATGAGACTATTTGTATGTACATGCTATGATTACATTTGTGGTCTCGCAGACATTTATATGTGTATCATGATGACATTTTTATGTGCTAAAGATTCTTCTATAAAGTCTGTTCAAATACAAAATAAATATGCCAAAAAAAACTACTTAAATTAGCAGTAGCGGATGTATAAAAGTTAGCAGCAGCGCCGCGATAGCAGTAGTGTGTCCAGGCAAAGCGCGCTTAGAGATACTAGCAATAGCGAGCTTCCGCTAACAGCGCTGCTGCTACACTTGTGTAGCAGTAGTGCCGGTGAGCACGCGCTACTGCTATGTGTTAGCTGTAGCGCCTTATTAGTAGCGCATATCCCCGCGCTACTGATACATCTAAAACCCACGCTGCTGCTAGCCTTTTCCCTAGTAATGTGCGGGGGGCACACAAACTCATGGGGCGCGCCCCTCGAGCTTGTGGCTCTCTTGTATCTTGTTTGGTCTCCTCCCGAATCTTCTAGGGTCCCTTGTGGTCCAGAAAAATTAATCCAAAGATTTTTTTTCTGTTTGATCTCCGTTTGATATTAATTTTCTAAAAAGGAAAAAGGAAAAAATAGGAACTATCACTGGGCATTAGGTTAATAGGTTAATCTCAAAAAATGATATAAAATAGCATATAAATGTATATAAAACATTCAAGATTGATAATATAATAGCATGAAACAATTAAAAATTATAGGTACCTTGGAGACATTTCACCCCTCCCCCCGTCTATTCTCCATTGCTTAATTTTTCTACACACAGTTGCCACTATTTTGCCATTTACTTTTTTGCTATTATCTATCTGTATCACTTGTGTTTTACCTTGTAACTAGCAAGACAAGGGGCTTGACATCCCTCTTGCCATGTTCGGGACAAATTTTGATTGTGTCTTATGTGCAGGTGTTGTTGACCTGTGTAGCTTAGAAGCTTCTATCGACAAACCTTAGTTCTTAACTGAGGGAAACCTTGGTACTTGCTGCTTCACCTTTCTGCTTGGGGGAATCCCAACAACTTTTTTCGTAGATCCGTTTATTTAAAATGTTTTATCTCTTAAACCGTGCATCCAAATCTCGAACTGTTTTCACCATTGGATTCCCCACGTCGAGATGTTCAAAACTAGATCCAATGTTGATAGTTATTGATGATTTTTTTCATGAAAAAAAAAACAAACAGAAAAACCGGACGAAAAAGCCGAACCGAGAGCACTTTTTTCCTTTTACAAAAGAGGCACGAAGAAAATGCATTTTTTCCTTTTCCAAAGAGGCACGACCATGCCTCTAGTGAAAAAAACATTTTTTTTTTGTTTACGAGAGGCACGACCATGCCTCATACGAAAGCAAATCCATGCCTCCTACCAAAAATAAAAACTCAGAAATCGAAGAAGGGCCCAAAGCGCGACACGTGACGGCCACTGAGAGCACGCCACCAAAGGACCATTGAGGAGGCTCACAAAACAAGCACTCTTTGATTAGTTCCTCCCGCGAGACACAAGGGTGTGGGACCTCCTACGTGCCGCTTAATGCGGCAAAGAGGCGCAATTTCGCACAGGAGACAGGTCAACTGGGGCCGGCCCATTCCCTGTCTTTGGCGGATTGAAAAACCGCAAAAAGAAACTAGAAATCAAATCTGCGACCTGCTCAAGTTGCCCGCGATGCGCAACCACTACGACAAGAGAGCTACTCTGGAAGAATTGTGGCGTGAGTATGAAAGCACTATAGACAACCGCGAAAAAGATAAAACAAGTTCGCCAAATTTCTTTTAAAAATAAAATTTGTGGGCAAGGGATCGAACTTTTGAATAAATTTGCAAAAACGGGAACAATTTTTGAAGTTCTAGAACATTTTTATATCTGTGAACAAAATTTTGAAATAGGAACATTTGTTTTTTTGAAATTTCCATACATTTTTTAATTTATGAAGTAAATTTACACATGTGAACATTTTTTTGAATTTCCGGACAAATTTTTAAATATGGGAACTTTTTGTAAAACAAATAACTTTTGGTTTGTGAACAAAACTTAGAAAGGTGAACATTTTTTGAATTACCAAACATTTTTTAAAACGAAGCAAACAAATTTAGAAATTTATGAACAAAATTTGAGAACAGGAACGTTTTCCATAAGAACGAACAAAATTTGTAAAATGCGAACATTTTTGAAAAAGAAAAATAAATCTGAAAATGAAAAATGAAATTGAAAAGGAAAGATAAACAGAGAGAAAAAAGAAACAAAAAACAAAGAAACAAATTTTAAAATGGAGGCTGAAAATCAGAAATAACTTTGGAAATACGACAATTTTTGAATACATGAACATTTTTTTGGAACAGGAAAATTTTTTTTGGAACAGGAACATTTTGGGACGGAGGGAGTAGTATATTTTTCAAAATGCGAACAAATATTTTGCCGCAGCGAGCGGCAAATAGGATATTCGCAAGGACGCCCATGAGTGAGTCTCGGAAAAGACAAGGACATTTTAGGCCCAACTTGAGTTTCAAACCAGCCCAAGGTGGGGAGCTGTGTGCGGGCCGAGGCTATCCATCCATCATCATCGTCCGTCTTCAGATTGGGCCCAACACAAACGACGACCACGCTCCAAACAAAGGAGAGACGACGAAGAAAAGGAAAGGAAAGGGGGGAGAAAGGGCAGCAGTTCTCGAATTCCGTTTCGAAATTATAAGGAGGGAAAGGGCGCCGCCGCCGCCGACGAACCCTCCCGCTCCGGCTCCGGCGGCGGCGACCACCGCCGGCCGGCCATGTCGAACTTTGCCGGCCACATCAAGGAGCTCCGCGCGCTCATCGCGGGCTCCTCCTCCTCCTCCGCCGCCCCGGCCTCCGCCCACTACGAGGCCAAGCTCCGCGAGGTCCTCCCCAGCCTCCTCCGCGACCACGTCCTCCCCGCCCCCACCGGTACGCCCCTCCCCTCCCCTCCCTCCTCCCGCGGCCCCGTTCCCCTCCCGGCGCGGGTCACGGCGGCGACTGGGCCGCCGCTCACATTCTCTGTGACTGACTGACCCATCGATGCAGCGACCGAGATGGAGACGTCGGTGGTGCTCAGGCTGCTCACCTACACGGCGCACAGGTTCCCCAGGGTCTTCTCCAACGGCCGCCCCGCCGAGGTCATCCGCGTCATCGGCCGCATCCTCCCCCTCTTCGCAGACCCCGACTACCAGTAAGCGCTCCCCTGCTCTTCCCCCCTTTTAAACCCTAGTCCAATCGCTCCCCACATGGGAAATCACATGGATTTAAGCACTCGATTGCGAAGTATTACTGCATCCACGTGTGAGACACGGGGTGAATTTAGCTGATGTCGTGTGCGCGGTAGAGGAAGCAACATCTAGTTTGGGGTTGTATGTTGGAATGGGAAAATGCTGCCTGTTTGAACAACCGATAGATTTGTAAATCTAGTAATGCTGGGCATCTTCAATTTCAACCGATGATGCTAGTTTGGTTATTTTATCCTACTAAATAGTTTGGTTATATGTGCGTCATCAGGTGCTATGTGTTGTTTACATACGCCCGGTTTGGTTTCTTCATCGTTGCAGGTCAATTATATTCGAGCCGGTTTGGTCTCTCCTCTCACTTCTCCGCACCGGTGACCGGGAGGCCTACAGGCAGTTCTTCCTGGATGCGATGGTTGCAGTAGAAGGCCTGTGATTCTGTTCACTTTATTTAGCTATCGTTGTACAATTTCAGTTTGTTGAGTACTCCAGTTTATTAGGTTGCGCAGAGAGGACTGGAATTGAACTTCTTGTCGAATCTAACAGATCTACAGTATGTGGCATCAAAGCACACGGAGAGTGGATGTCTTTTAAAATGCTTCTGTGGATCCTTCTCGGACATTTTGGAGTCCCCTGCGATTTTCAGTGACCTCCCAGAGAGCTTCCAGCCTAAAAATGGACCTGGCGTGCTGATTGATCTGTCTGGTGACATGAGATGGTGTTCATTTGCCACTTCATTAATTAGACTCATCAACAAATGCCTTACAGATGGTACCCTGCATGTTGAAGGGGTTGTTACCATGCCATTTGTTTCTGCTGCTTGTTCTATTCTCTGTTATGGGGATGAATCCCTGCACAAGGTTGGTATTTAACCTTGAACCTTTGTGCGTTTTCGGTTATACCTATGTACCTTCGACACATTGATTAATCAATTTGGTGCAACAGGTTTGTTTTGATTTTGCGCGGATCGTTGCAACGGTGATGACTGTTGAGATTCTTCCTACGGAAACTATTATTCGTTCAATCACATCGATTCTAAGCCAAGATGTTAATGAGCTTTCTAGTATCAGGTATGCTCTTGTCGTATCTTTTTCTTCTAGTCTAGATTATTACAATCGCTCCAGTCATGTCATGTGGAGCGGTCAAAAGTAACAAGATGTTGCGGATATTCCTCAGGTCTGTTTTACTGTGAAAGGAATCTATGAAACAATAGTTTAGATGCTTTATTATATCATTTTGTTCCCCGGTCTTGGCTTTCTGGTTTAGCATATTTGCCCACTGATATTTATGTTTTGTATTGCTTGTGACGCCTTGGTCCATACTTTGTTTTCTTCATATTTATGTGATTTAAGAAGAACCAATTGTAGGCTCCTAGTTGTATTGGAAGCAAAGCATATTGATCTATACGTACCTCTCCTATGAATCAGATCTTTATCTCTAAGTGTCAGTCAGTGTAACAGTAATGTAGAGAAGGAATATTTGGCACTTGGAAGAAGCATAGAGTGCAAATCTGTAATGCTGGATTATATTTTGCTCTTTTTTAGCCAGGAATTATGTACCCTTCCCCTTTTTGTTCAAGAATGCTAATATGTTTGCCTTCTCTGGGTAAGTTTCATACATAGTAGTCTTTTTTCTTGGTAAATTCTCTTAGTCAAACAACACTATACTGGTGAAACTGGTAGTGGTACTGATAGTTATTGAATCAGTTAGCTATACATTTTCCATAAACTGTTTTTATTATAACAAGGAAGTATTCTACAAAAGAGTTACAGCTGGGGACCTTAAGAAGATACCGTATAGCAATGTACTGGCTCGCTCTGCCTAATATTAAAAGCCTTAAATACCATGTGATGTAGGTTTTATATTGTCATGGATATTATGGGAGTGTGCACAAACACTGTCAAATAGCATAACGTTTCATCTTATTTCTGCAGAGATCCAGATTATGACTTATCAGTGGGTGCATGTCTTCATGCTCTGCATTCTTCGTGTCCTGGTTATATTGTTGAATCTACGGCTGCTGATATTGTCAATGTTTTCACAAGAGCAGTACAGACCAGCAGAAGCTCAGAGCTTCAGGTTAGCAACTTGCTTTTCCCAGGTTTTTTGGGTACTTCTCTCTACTAATGCTACCTTTTGCAGGCTGCGATGTGCAATGCGTACATGAGAATAGTCGAAGTCTGCTCCCCACAAGTATGGAAACCAGAGATCCTTCTGAAGTTGCTCTACTTGCCCAAGCCTTATGACAAAGTGACTGAATGCATTCGACTGGTTGTTGACAAATTTGGTCAGAGTTCGGTGTCTGTGGATGCCAGTGATGATCGAGGTAGCTTTCAGGAAAAATCTGAAGTATCTGACCTGCCAAAAGTCGGCCAGAAAAGAGTAGCTCAGAACCAGGAAAATACTTTGTACAAACGTCAAAAGATGTCTGAATCACGATCAACCATTGGTTCATTTATGACTAAATTATCTCCTGCTGGCATAGGACATGAACTAGCAAAAGATTATGCCTATGATCTTCAATTGTCACTAAATTCACGTATTAAGTTCCTGTCACCTGACAATCATAATGCTTATCCATTGGAGCCTGATATTGCTATACAAGTGCTTAGTCTTCTTTCTCTTTCATTCTGTGTTAACCCAAAGACAAGTCTGTTTATTAGTATTTCTAAGCAAGTTCTCTCCTGGATCCCTTGGATTTGCAAGCAGGTAGGCAGAAATCATGATAAAGCTGCATAAATTTATTTAGCTTTTCATCGTTTTTGAACTTAACATCCTAACCATTAGTGAACGATGCAGGCAACCGAGAAATGTTTCTTTTCGTTTGACATGTTACTATATTTCAGAGCTCTTCAGACTGTAATGCTTCTCCGATGTAAGGTTTTCCTCCATGTTTTGCATTTTGTACATGCCATGTTTCAACTTACATGAATTATGTTTGAGATCTTAGGTAGCTTTGCTATAAGCCTGTAACAACTGTGCAATTTCTTAATATTACTTTCAAGGTTTCTATGATCCTGTTTTGTGTTTTAAGTCCTTGTTTGTGTTTATACAACTTCTTGGGCTTATGGCTTGTTCATCATATAAGGTAGATCATTAAATACAATTTTGGTGAGCTATTTGTGTAAGACCTGCTTGTAAACCCCACAATCCATCCATCCCTGTCAAATCATCTAGAACATAGAAGGAACCTGGACCTTTCAGACATGTATAAATATGAACAAGGGATCTGCTGATCCCATTATCCCGGGATAAACTTACAAGCTCATTGCTTTGAGCTTATGCCAGACCAAATTTTATCGAGTACATGGTGATATGGCTCTCCTTTTCTCATTTTTAATGTTTACTTTTGTCGAAATGTCTATGTAGCCTTTCATCCTGGAGACTCTAAACTGTTTGGAGATGAAGCTCGGCTGATTGGTGATCGCAGTGAAGATTTAGATTATCCACTATATGTTGATCTCATCAGCTTGCTGAAAAGGGTGTGGTCTGACGGTCATGTTTCCACTCAAACATCCTTAGACTGGAACTTAAAATGCCTTGTGGTACAAGTTATTGCTAAGATTGGCAGCAGACTGAATATTGATTGTGACCTTGAACTCCTTGAACTGGCTATCCATAGTGAATCTGTGGAGGTTCAAAATGAGGCTCTTATGTCTCTGCCCATTATTGTACTGTATTCTGGTCCTAGCATGCTTGGAGTGATGTTCAAGAAACTTGAGTGAGTAAATATGCTTTACCATGATTTTAGATTATGCATTTTCCACCTTGCCTTTTGTTGAACCAAAACAGTAAATTTCTCGTTGGGTTATGATTACCAAATATTATTGAAGGCATTCCCTTGATTGAGGAAAAATTAATAAATTCAGATTTTCTTATACCACAATGCACTTAATTTGTTTTATAGTTCTTCTGTAAGATCTGATAACCTCTAGTCGTTTTTTTTCCTTCAGGTTCTTTGGTGATTTAGGATCTGATGACAAAGTGTGGAAATGTGTTGCCTTTTCACTTGGTTTCCTATCTTGTTTAAATGGAACAACTGATGTTACTGACAAAGCGGGAAACAGTTGCAAGCTGTTCATGGACAAGGACTCTAAGCAACCAGTCTCGACATTGGATCTTCTCTTGAAAGGTTTCTGGTGCCCTCACTGTGATAACAGAACTGTCAATACTAAAGAGCAGATTTCTGTTGTGGACATGGCAGTACTAGAAGCTGAGAATGTTGCCTTGAAACATAATATTTTGAAGGCCCACACACTTTTTTTCAAGTTCCTATATGCACAGACTTCCAAAGAATGTATCATTTCCATGGTTGAAGTTTTGCCACGAGTACTGAGACATTCTAGCAAAGAGGTTTTACTTGAGATGAAAATTAAGTGGGTAAAGTGTATTGATTTTCTGCTACTTAATGGAATGAAAGATGTCAGAGATGCATTTTCTCTTGTAGTATGCTGCTTTTTGGAAAACAGAGTCATGGACATTTTGTTCTCGGATGAACTGGGAATGGAGGGAGGGACTAAGGAGCTTAAGTTCATGGACAAAATAAAGCAAGCTTTTGCGGAAGCTGAAGATTCTCATGTTCTACTGACACTTTTGGAGTCTACTGCTACAATTATGCAAGCCAGTGATACTCAAGGGGAAGTTTTTTTCTGCTCATTTGTATTGCTTATTGCTCAGCTTGATAACCATGATCCCATTGTAAGGAAGACGGCATCAAGATTACTTCACAGATGCTGCACTTACAGTTTCAAAGAAGGAATAGAACTCTTCCTCTCGAATAACTTCCATGTTAGAGATGATTTATATGACTATCTTTCATCTAGACTATTAAATCATCCTGTAGTGATTAGTGAATTTGCTGAGGCTGTTCTTGGGATTAAGACTGAAGAGCTGATTAGGAGAATGGTTCCATCAGTTATACCAAAGCTTATTGTGTCTCACCCAGACAATGACCAAGCTGTTATTACTCTGCATGAACTGGCAAACCATCTAAACACTGAACTAGTACCATTGATTGTTAATTCACTACCTAAAGTGCTTTCGTTTGCTCTATTCTATGAAGATGGGCAGCACTTGCCGTCTGTTCTACAGTTTTATCACACCGAAACGGGAAGTGATAGCAAAGAAATATTTGCAGCTGCTTTGCCAACACTGCTTGATGAGATCATATGTTTTCCTGGGGAATCTGATCATATCGCGACCGATAGAAGGTAGCTTTTCTTTTCATTGTAGACATATTTCTCTAGATACTTCCTTTGCAATTAGGCATAAGTTTGAATGAGTTTTAATGGTGTTTCAATTTTCAGGACAACAAGAATTTCACCAACAATACAGAATATTGCAAGAATTTTGACAGGGAATGACACCCTTCCTGAGTTCTTGAAGAATGATTTTGTCAGACTTCTCAATAGCATTGACAAGAAGATGCTTCATTCTGATGACTTGAAGCTTCAAAAACAAAGTCTCCAGCGTATACGGAAGTTAGTTGAGATGATGGGCCCTTATTTGAGTACACATGCACCGAAGATTATGGTTCTGTTGATATTTGCCACTGATAAGGAAGCTCTTCAAATGGATGGTCTTGATGTGTTACATTTTTTCATAAAGCAATTGGCTGAGGTATCATCGACCAGTATCAAGTATGTTATGTCCCAAGTTGTAGCTGCTTTCATTCCATCTTTAGAGAAGTGCAGAGAATGCCCTTCTGTGCATCTGAGAAAAATTGTTGAAATCCTAGAAGAACTGGTTGTGAAAAACAGTAAGTTGCTTAAACAACATATACGTGAATTGCCATTGCTACCCAACTTACCATCTTTGTCGGAAGTAAACAAAGTAATACAGGAAGCCAGAGGATCAATGACTCTGCAAGATCATCTAAAGGATGCCGTTGATGGTCTTAATCATGAGAGCTTGAATGTAAGGTACATGGTAGCATGTGAGTTGAGTAAATTATTCAAGGCCAAACGGGAGGATGTTACTGCACTTATAATTGGTGAAGATATTTCTGATTTGGATGTAATAAGTGCTTTAATTATGGCTTTACTTAAAGGATGTGCTGAGGAGTCAAGGACAATGGTTGGCCAGAGGCTGAAACTAGTTTGTGCAGATTGTCTTGGTGCACTGGGTGCAGTTGATCCTGCTAAGTTCAAGGTAATTTCGTGTGAGCGCTTTAAGATTGAATGTTCAGACGATGATCTTATATTTGAGTTGATCCACAAGCATCTTGCAAGGGCATTCAGAGCAGCTTCCGACACAACAGTACAAGATTCTGCTGCCTTGGCTATTCAAGAGCTACTAAAATTGGCTGGCTGTCAGTCTTTACCCAAAGAAGATAATGGGGAAGATTCAAGTAGTTGTGAAATGAGCAGAAGGGGTCAGAAGTTGTGGGGACGTTTTTCTAGTTATGTTAAGGAAATAATTGCGCCATGCTTGACATCAAGATTTCATCTTCCTAGTGTGAATGATGCTGCTTTACTTGGCCCAATATACCGCCCAACAATGTCCTTCAGAAGGTGGATATATTATTGGATTAGAAAGTTGACATCCCACGCAACTGGATCGCGCTATGGTATTTTCAGTGCATGCCGAGGAATTGTTCGGCATGACATGCCAACTGCGCTCTATCTCCTACCTTACTTGGTTTTAAATGCTGTTTGCTATGGAACTCCAGAGGCTCGGCAAAGCATCACTGATGAAATATTGTCTGTTCTCAATGCAGCTGCTTCAGAAAGTAGTGGGGCTATTGTTCACGGTATTACTGGGGGCCAGAGTGAGGTTTGTGTTCAAGCCATCTTCACTTTACTTGATAATCTTGGGCAATGGGTTGATGATCTCAAGCAGGAAATTGCTCTATCCCAGTCTAATAATGCCATGGCTGGGAGGCAAGCAGGTAAATTGAACGATGAAACCTGTTCTAATAACGGCCAAGATCAATTGCTGGTGCAGTGTAGCAATGTTGCTGAGCTGTTGGCTGCTATACCTAAAGTTACTCTAGCTAAGACCTCTTTTAGATGTCAAGCTCATGCTCGTGCTCTAGCATATTTCGAATCTCATGTCCGAGAGAAGTCCGGGTCCTCTAATCCAGCTGCAGAGTGTAGTGGCACTTTTTCAGATGATGACATCTCTTTTCTGATGGAAATATATGGAGGATTGGATGAGCCTGATGGCCTATTAGGTTTAGCTAATCTGAGGAATTCGTCAAGCCTACAAGATCAACTTATCATCAACGAGAAAGCTGGAAACTGGGCTGAAGTGCTAACACTATGTGAACATGCTTTGCAGATGGAACCTGATTCTGTCCACAGACATTGTGATGTTCTCAACTGTTCGCTAAACATGTGCCACCTCCAAGCCATGATTGCGCATGTGGATGGTTTGGTTGGCAGAATACCTCAGTATAAGAAAACATGGTGCATGCAAGGTGTGCAAGCAGCTTGGAGATTAGGAAGATGGGATCTCATGGATGAGTACCTACCCGAGGCAGACAAAGGTCTTGTGTACAGTAGCACGGAGAACAGTGCTTCGTTTGACATAGGTCTAGCAAAAATATTCAAGGCGATGACGACAAAAGATCAGTTTATGGTTGCTGAAAAGATCGCCCAGTCCAAGCAAGCGTTGCTTGTCCCGTTGGCTGCAGCAGGCATGGACTCGTATATGCGTGCCTATCCTTACATTGTCAAGCTCCACATGCTGTGTGAGCTGGAAGACTTCAACTCCCTGCTGGGAGATGAGTCATTTCTTGACAAATCATTCAGTGCAGATGATCCAAGTTTTCTGAAGTTAACAAAAGACTGGGATAACCGTCTTAAATGTACACAATCGTCTCTGTGGGCAAGGGAGCCTTTGCTTGCTTTCCGAAGGATGGTTTATAATCTTAGTCATATGAATTCTCAAGTTGGGAACTGCTGGCTTCAGTACGCTAAGCTCTGCCGTTTGGCTGGTCATTATGAGACAGCCCACCGTGCAATACTGGAAGCAGATGCTTCAGGTGCTCCAAACGTTCACATGGAGAAGGCAAAGCACCTCTGGAATATACGGAAATCTGATAGTGCTATAGCTGAACTTCAGCAAACGCTTCTAAACATGCCCGCAGAGGTTTTGGGAAATGCTGTCCTTTCATCACTTTCCAGCCTTTCTCTCGCATTGCCAAATGCGCCTATCTCTGCAACACAAGCATCAAAAGAGAATCCAGATGTGTCTAAAACCCTTCTTCTTTATACTAGATGGATCCACAATACAGGGCAAAAACAGAGCGAGGAAATCAAAACTCTCTACAGCAGAGTAACAGAGTTGCGGCCCAAGTGGGAGAAGGGCTTCTTTTGCATGGCAAAGTTTTTGGATGATTTACTTGTTGATGCTAGGAAACGTCAGGAAGATAAGAAATTCACAGGTGGAGTTGGATCTGTTACTCCTGGCTCCGCTGGAAGTGCAAGTGCCCCAGCTAAAGAGAGGCCTTGGTGGGAGTTGGTTCCAACAGTCTTGCTATGTTATGCAAAAGGACTTCACAAAGGACACAAGAATCTTTTTCAAGCACTACCACGGTTACTTACGGTTTGGTTTGAATTTGGAAACATATACATCCAAGAAGGGCCAAGTGCAGAAATGAAAGTCGTTCATGATAGGGTAAATTCTGTTTCACATGTTTTTTTTCTTCATTTTTTTCAATCTGTGTAAGAGATCTAATCAGCCCATCTAATGCAGATGTTAGCCGTCGTCCGTGGGTGCTCGAAGGATCTACCAACTTATCAGTGGCTAACTGTGCTGTCTCAGTTGATATCTCGCATCTGTCATCAGAATGCTGAACTTGTCAGAGTTGTAAGATACATTATCCAGGTGGTTTTACAGGCATACCCTCAGCAAGCACTTTGGATGATGGCTGCAGTGTCAAAGTCGACAGTTTCTGCAAGACGAGAGGCTGCTACACAAATATTAAAATTAGCAAAGAAGGGTGTTGGGAAGAGGAGCGACTATGTTGCGCTGTTTAATCAGTTTCCTTCTCTAATAGAACATCTGATTAAGCTGTGCTTTCACCCAGGGCAGCCCAAGGCGAGGTCAATAAATATCTCAACTGAGTTCAGTTCCTTGAAAAGAATGATGCCCCTAGGAATTATATTACCTATCCAACAGGCTCTCACTGTAACTCTGCCATCATACGATTCAAATATGTCAGGTCAATCTACTTTTCACCCCTTTTCAATCTCTGAGCATCCTACTATAGCTGGAATAGCCGACGATGCAGAGATCCTTTCCTCCCTTCAGAAACCAAAGAAGGTATGCACATGCACATATTTAATACTGCCATACTTGATAATTACGCCTGTTTGAGGAGCAACAACTGTCAATATGTACTGACGTTTGTGCACGGAAGTAGTTCTAGTCATTTTTTATGGACGGCTTGCATCATGGTATTGTGGTTGCAAGTCATTAGTTGGATATGGCGTGGGAGATTGGGAGTTATCGAGGGTCCAGATCACTTGTTTGCACTCATTTAAGTACTATTTTGGTCATTTACGATTAGTTTTCATTGTTAAGGGTCTCAATTAACTAATACCTCACTCATTTAAGTACTATTTTGATCATTTTGAACTTCAGGTTGTGTTCCTCGGAAGCGATGGAGTGGCTCGCCCATTTCTATGTAAACCGAAGGACGATCTTAGGAAGGATGCACGCATGATGGAGTTCAATGCTGTGATCAATCGTCTCCTCTCCAAAGTTCCTGAGAGCCGCAGGAGGAAGCTTTATATCAGAACCTTTGCCGTGGTTCCACTTACAGAAGACTGTGGACTGGTAGAATGGGTGCCCAACACCCGTGGTCTTCGGCATATTCTTCAGGACATATACATAACTTGCGGGAAGTATGACAGGATGAAAACAAACTCGCAGATGAAGAGGATATATGATGTATGCCATGCCAGCAAAATACCTGAAGACGAGATGATGAAAACTAAGATCCTTCCATTGTTTCCCCCGGTGTTCCACAAATGGTTCTTGACGACATTCTCTGAACCAGCTGCATGGTTTCGTGCCAGAGTGGCATATGCGCATACCGCCGCAGTTTGGTCAATGGTTGGGCACATTGTGGGGCTTGGTGACAGGCACGGCGAGAACATCCTTATCGACGCGACGACCGGGGACTGTGTTCATGTGGATTTCAGTTGCTTGTTTGACAAGGGTTTGCAGCTCGAGAAGCCCGAGGTGGTGCCGTTCAGGCTTACACAAGTAAGCAGCGAAATCTTGTTTTGCGCTTTCTTTTCAGCAGCTTATCCAACGAATTGAATCCGATTTTCGTTACAAGTACTACTAAGATTGGCATGCTGAATTTGCATTTGCAGAACATGATCGATGGGTTGGGCATCGCTGGATACGAAGGCGTCTTTCTGAAGGTCTGCGAGATCACTCTGTCGGTCCTCAGGGGCCACAAGGAGGCGCTCATGACCGTCCTCGAGACCTTCATCCACGACCCGCTAGTGGAGTGGACCAAAGCCCACAAGTCCAGCGGAGGGGAGGTCCGAAATCCGCAAGCGCAGGTATCATCAACATCCTTTATCTAAAAAAATAGCTATTATCAGTATTTGATCGTTGCTAACACAACCGTGTCGCTCTCCTGATCTGCCTCTGTTCCAGAGAGCCATTGCCAACATCACGGCGAGGCTCCAGGGCGTCGTGGTGGGCGTCAACGCGGCTCCCTCCCTGCCGCTCTCCGTCGAAGGGCAGGCGCGGCGGCTGATCGCGGAAGCGGTCTCCCACAAGAACCTCGGCAAGATGTACATCTGGTGGATGCCCTGGTTCTGAGTTCCGACCATCTAACTAACAGGTCCCCTCCCTCCCACGCTGCTAATGTGTGTTTTGCTGGATGATGTAGACATACATACATACATACATACATGCAGCAAGTAGAGGCAGCTTAGCGGCGTTTTTGTGACCAGTTCCTTAGCTGCCTTGGTTCCTGTTACCAACCACTGACCGCTCGTTGTTAGTGCGAGGCACCGAACATACTCCTTGTGAGACATTTTGTGATGCCCCCGCTAACAAAATACGACTGTAAAGAAAGTTTTTCGGTGTTGTCATGGTGCTTAGGGTGGTGTTTCCTCCTGCCAGGTCCATTCTGCACTGTAGAGTTGGCTCTGGGCATCCTCACAGTCACGGGAATTCTCTCTCTTCCCTCCACGTTTTGGAGGATCCCAAGAGGCTCAATCATACACGTAGAGTTTGCCCGGGGATGGGCAGTGGCAGTGGATGAGTGCAGCCATGCCAAATGCCACATGCCACATGCCACGCCTCCTCTCCGGCGTCAGGATGATTCCAACACGAGGAAGTATGGCGAGAGAGAGAGAGGGAGATATACTACTGGGCACTTGGCAGCCGTCGTCATGGCGTCAACAGCCAGCCCAGCCACAGCCAGCCGCATCTCGAGCGGACGAATATCATGGGCAAGCAAGCCAGCCAGCCGAGAGGCGTCATCATCCACCCCGTTGCAAGCAGCTGCATCCGCTTCCAAATTCAGGAATATCTTACTGGCACCGGCGCCACACCATCCTTTTCGCTCTGACGAAAAAAGGGCTGCTGTGGTTCTCGGCCCGGAACTGCAAACGTCCGCCGGCAAGAGCACAAACTCCCGAGTTTAGATTTTGACCGACCCGCGCATCAATCCAAATACAAGAGCCAAGCACAACTTTTTAATTCGTTTTTTGAGAGGAAAAAGGTGCCCTGCAAAAAGTGCCCCCCTTTGGGGCATTACAAAATGCGGACCTCCTTCCCTGTAAGGACTGACGAGCTAAGTACGCTTGTTGCAAGCTGATGAACCATAAGAAATTTTGTAGGCTGATCATTCAGAGGTTAGTGGCTGATGATTGGGGTAGAAAACTGGGCCGGCCGGCCGGCCGGGCTGCTTTACCGACATGATCTTTGTCTGCTCGGCTGGATGGCTGGCCGGCCGGTGGTCTAGAGCGTGGGAATTAGGGGTCAATGGTCCTGCTGGAGGCGAGGGTTGCTTAACTGGTCGGTCCCCGGCCTCATCCGGGCAAGAATGCCAAGGGATACGACAAGGGCCACTGGTCCTCCTCATCCTACTCGCTCACACACGCAGAGGAGGAAAACGGAGGCCAACTTATATTTTTCTACTACTAGTACACAATGTCACAGCCATCCATCAATACCTTCATCATCGCCGTAACTGTCTTTATAGAAAATTGTGTATTGGGAGAAACTTTCTTTTTTCCAATGCAACATCCATGTCTTCATCATCGCTGTATTTGTCTTTATAGAAAAAAAATAAAATGTATGTTGGGAGAAGTTTTCTTTCTCCGATGCAGCGCCCATGTCTTCATTAGTGAAGATCTGAGGCGCCGCGCAACGCAACGCGAAGCAACAGCTGGATGGGGCTGCTGAGAGCATCTCCAACAGCCGCGGCAAAAGGCGCGCCCGCACGGTAAAGTCTGGCTTTAGCGCGCGCCGGCTGGTTCCGCGCGCTCCGACGGTGGCGGGAACTTACCGCGCGCGGGGGAAGAAAGTGGCATGCGGCGCGGTAGATTTGACGCGTCTATAAATTGCCGCGCTCGCCACGCGCACAACACACAACCACGCGCCCTTCCCTTGCAACCTCGCCGCTTCGCAACTTTCCGCGCCGCCACCGCGCCATCGCACCGCCGGGGTGCTTCGGGCTATCGCGGCGTCCGCGAGCGCCCCAACGGCTGGTACTCCGTCGAGATACGGTCCGGCGACGTCCGGCTCGGCCTTGGGACGTTTCGGAGTACGTAGGAGGCGGCCCGCGTGTACGACGCGGCGGCGTGGCGCTTGGACAGGCCCCGGTCGCAGATGAACTTCTGGGACGTCTTCACGCGCGAGCAGGCGCATCGCGTCGCCCCTCCGACGCGTCTCATCACCGACATGGACCGTGCCGACCACGCTCGGCGGTAGCGCCGCCTCCTCGTCGCCGAGGAGGACGAGCGAGCCATGGCGGAGTGGCGCCGTCGTCACCCGGAGGACGTCGCCGACGAGTGCGCCTACTGGGCGGAGAGGACGGCAAGGCGCCGCGTGGAGCGGGCTGACCGGCGTCAGCGGAAGGCATTGGCGAACTAGCAGTGCGACATAGTTTCAGCAGGTGGGCGGTCGTTCTTCACCGCGAATGACGAACGTTGGGACGACATATGGATCTCAACCTCGAACGACACCGACGAGGATGATGATGGTGATGGTAGCGACTTGGAGTAGTTTCTATCTATGTATGCCATAGTAGTTTCTATCTATCTATCTATGTATGTCGAACTATCTATTATCCATGTAAAATATCTTGTTTCGTTTTTTTTTATCTATGCAAAAAATATATTTAGAATGAGCGTGCGCGCTGCATTTTTACCGCGCCTGCTGGAGCAAACGCCGCGCGCCGCGCCAAACCAGGCGATGGGCGCGCGCCAAATCAGTTTTTAGCGCGCGGAGTTGCTCTGATTTGGTGCCAAACATTGTCCAGTGTCAAGCAACAGGGATCCCTCCCTCCAGGTGCTGAAATCATTTCCCTCATCTTACACACATAGGGAGAGGATTTTTTTTTTTCGGAGAGAAGCTATTTTTCTCCATCCATCCAGCACGTCTTCATCACCATCGTCATTAGAAAACAAAATTGGGGAGAGACTTTCCTTTCCCATGCCCATGCAACGTCCCAATCGGCCAGCCATCCATCCATGTCCTCTTCTTCAGCGGCAGCATCATCGCCATCACCGGTGAGGTTGTGAGCAATGCAAAGCAAGCAAGCAAGCAAGCAAGCAACGGCGTTCTGCTGCTGCATGATTCATCAGCACAGTATGCATCCGCTGGTGCCCGCCCGGCATCGCCGATGTCAACCAACAGGAGCAACACGGCCGGTGAAACACTAAACAACGGCCGGAAAAGCGCAGGAGCGAGGGGATCATCGCCCTCACCAATCATTCATCGGAAAGGCGCCCGCCCGCCGATCTTGGTTGCTAACAGGAGAGAATTTTGATCACGGCGACGGACATGGTTATCAATCATCTGCGAAAAAGGCTTCTCCCCCCACCCACCCCGAATCTTTGCCCAACCCCTTTTCGCTACTGCTGGCTGCTCGTACTAGTGCTAACTGCTAATTCTACTCACTGCTACACCTACTTCTACTTTATTATCCTTCCTCCTCCTCCTGCTGGTCATGGTGGTGGTGGTGGTCCTTGCTCGTCTCTCTACAAGCAGCCGCCCCCGTAGCCGGCGTTCTTGAACAGCTCCTGCTTGATGGCGTCCGCGCTGATCATCTCCCTCTGCATCTGCGGCCAGAAACGACCCGAAATCAGCTGGGATTAGTGACTGAACTGACGATGCGGCTCAAAAAAGAAGAAGAATCCATCCATCCATGTTTGCTGGTGAGCTGACGAATCCATGGATGCACGGAAGCATCGTTGGTTACCTCGGAGCAGGAGGCGTGCATGGCGAAGTCGTTGAAGCAGCTGACGACGCACTGCTGGATGTCGAGGCCGAGGGTGTCGAGCGTGCCCACCGTCGACAGCAGCAGCCCCGGCTTGGCCGCGCAGTAGACCTCCACCCGGGTGTCGCCCTCCTTGCGCTCCACCTCGAACTGCAACAACACCTCTCCGTCAGTCTCCCAGTCAGCAATGGCGCTCTGCTCCATTGGCGAGGGCAGCGGGCGGGCGGCCTGGAACTAGAAGATTGCTGACCTTGGGGGTGTTCCGGGCGAGCATCTCGTTGGGGTTGAGCTCCCGGAACACGCTCAGCAGCGGCGCTGCCGCCGCCGCCGCCGGCCCGGGATGCTGGTGCGGACACGCCTCCTCCATCTCCTCCTGCAGCCGCCGGATCCTCTCCAGCAGCTCCTTCATGTAGTCGATGGTGTCCCCCAGGATCGACGTCCTGTCCATCTACACGCCCGCCCAAAAACAAATCCCCACCAAGAACGCACATTCAGTTTGATTTACCCCCAAGATTAAGATTTTGACGAGGTCGATTGCAGCGGTGAAATCGGGAAGGAGGGGGCTTTTTTTCACCTTGCTGATCTTGGGCACCACGGAGCGGAGCATGGAGAGGCGGTCGTTGAGCCGCTTGCGGCGCCGGCGCTCCGCCATCAGGTTCTTGGACGGCATGCCCTCCACCCGCTTCTTCCTCGACGCCGGCCCCGGGGGCAGCGCCGCCATCGGGCCCGGGCCGAACGCGCCGCCGTCCGCCGCCGCCGCCAGCCCGGGCTCCACCTTGCAGGCGCCGAGGCCGGCCCCCTCCGCCGCCAGGGCCGCCTTGGGGTCCATCGCGGCGAGAAACCCCATCTCGCCGTACCCGCCGCCGACGGCATTGGGGAAGGGGCCGCCGCCGTAGACCTCGCTGAGGCAGTCGAACCCCCCAGAAGCCACCGCCGCCGCGTGCTGATGCTGCTCGTGCTGCTGCGGGTGCGGCTGCTCGAAGGAGGCGGTGAAGGTGGGCAGCACGCTGACGGTGGGCTGGTGCCGCTCCTGGAAGCAGTCCATGCCTGCGGCGCCGGCCCCGCAGGCCGGGGAGAAGAAGTCCCCCATGGCATTGCACTCCCACGCGGCCGTGGCGTCCCTCCTCAGCGAGAAGAGCTCCTCCAAGAACGCCTGCTCGTCCAGCTCCATTGCCCCTCTTCCCCCCTCCTCCTCCACTTCCTTCTTGGCCTCCCCTTCTGACAAAGATGGAGACGGGAGAGAGTGATGTGTCTCTGTGTGAGAGAGGGGGGGATGGGAGGAAGGATGATGATGGTATTGTGTTGGTGTCCATGGTGAGTGGGGATTAATATACTCCCTGGTAATGAACGGTGAGCAGTGGCATTA